GGAACCATATTACTCCTACAACCTACTGACAAATTATACATAGCAGATCAAGAAATATATGTCTAGGTAAGATTTATCTGAGAACAGCTGGTCTTTGCCCAAGATTTATCTACATGACACACAGTAATTAAAAATACCAGACTGGTGGAACTAACCTTCTTGGGTGTTTGACAGACATACTTTGAAGCCTATAATAATTTGGTCAGAGGGACATAAAGGACACTTTTTGCTCCTCGTCCTCCTAGGTCAACTAGTAACAGGGGACTATGAGTATCTTTCAAAATGTCCTATAATGGTGGTGGGTCACCTTTCCTCTTGATCTAGAAGGCCGAGGAGACCCCACCGAATGGACTTGAACCAGTGTCCAGTTTACATAGAGGAGGGTCAACATAGAGGAAGCATTTCCTCCATGCTTCCAAGCAAAGCCAGCCATGGTCGAGCAGGACCTTTGACTTATCTTCACATAGGCGGAACTGGTAAAAGAAAGGAGCCAGGGTCTCCTCCCAAGCCCATGTGACCCCTGAGGAACAGATCCTCAAACAACCTAAAGAGTAAAAATGAATTGGTTTATCTGGCCAACTATACGTCCTTAAACACGCAAAAGGAAAGTATAACCAAAGATTAAAGGGGCCAACATAATTTCTTAAGAGTCCATATGTATAGCTAAAGGCTACATAACAAGCAACAATGCCAGATAGGAGATACCTTCTTTTGAGTTTTTGGCCAGGGTGGCCAAAGGGACTCCTAGATAGTAACCCAGCATAGAACTGGGAAAATGAACAGCAAACCCCAATCTTATCTAAAGGAATATTGACAACTGATTGCTGCTAGATGAGGAACAGCTGACCTTCCTAAAACAAAGACCTCGAGAAAGGCTGACTAGATTCACTAGAAGGGCAAGTAGTGGGGAATGGCTGGGGGTACCGACAACACAGCAGACAGTAGCAGGGATATCAGAATATAAGGGCTCTAGTGAGGGGAGGGAGGCTATGGGAGGGTGCCATCTGGGAAGTGGGTGTATAGTTGAATAAGATGGTTTGGGATGTTCTGTGTGATATATACATACACACATACACACACACAAAAAAAACAAATTTTAAAAAACGTATTATATTTGAGGAATAAGCATGGAAATTTATGTCATGTTAATTAGTAGAGGTGATAAACATTACCATTGAAATCTACCCGATGACATTATAGACATACACAGGTGCCAAGGATCCAAGTGCAACCAATTATGACTAGTAATAATCAGATACATACAGATTAGAGATGCATGCGCCAACATCTCAGTGTTAGTAGCAAAAACAATGAGTCTTTCTGCAAGGAACAATATATTCTAAAATGAAATGGAGATCTTTTTTAAAGGGTAAAAACTCACTTTTATGTCTTACAGGGCTTATACTGAGTTCAATATTGTATAACTGTAATAATTCAACTGTAAACCTAAAAATTTACAGCCAGTTTTGAAAGAGATCCATCTTAGCTCTGGACATTGTTATTGAATATGCCAATGCTGTTGCAATAAAATGCCTCTTCTAAGTATGTGGTTATTAAATAAATAATTCAAAAAATACAAAGTAAAAAAAAATGTTAGTAATCGAATTGCTAAGAAATCTGACCAGTGTAGGGAGTGCGACAAGTGTAGGTGGAAAGGCGGAAATGTCTTAACTGTGACTTGTGAGTGCTCATGGGAAAAGCTTTGTCACCTTGCAATGGGAAGCAGTGCGGCCGGCTCCGTCATCTGACTGCACTCGTCCAGTACAACCACAGGGAATTTAAGCCCATTCATGCACGGGAATGGGCAGGCTGCACAGGTCACACCAACAACTTGAACCTTTAGTTAAAAACAAATATTTTTGAGTCAAGGTCTCACTCTGTAGTCCAGTCTAGCTTGGAACATACTGCAAAGCCCATGCTTGGCTTCAACCTCCTTAATCCTCCTGCCTCTACCTCCCTCCTGAGCGTTTGGATTATAGCTGTGAGCTACCATGCCCACCAATACAAAAATATCATAAATTAACAGCTATTAAAAAAAATTAAGAATTCTTTTACTAAGAATGTGAAGGCTAAAGTCAGAAGTCAAACTAGACCTAACTTCCTGCCAATCAGAAATTACTAGTCATTTTACTTCTACATTTTCATGATTTCCACATATAAAATGGAAATCACAAAATATAAGCTAGTTTAACTATAGTCACCAAGAATAAAAGGTAATTTTGGGGGGGGTACGGGGGAGTCTTTTTGAGACAGGTTCTCCCTGTAGCCTGAGCTGGCTTGGAACTCACCATATATATCAGGCTGACCTTTAACTCACAGAGATCCGCCTGCCTCTGCCTCCCCAGTACTGGGATTAAAGGCATGTCCCACCACGCCTGGCCAAAAAGTACATTTTTTAAAAAGGTACATTTTGATACTGTAATAGAAGGGAAGTATTATAGCATCAATGACTTAGAAAATATCAGGGATGAGCTATATCTTCTATCTTTTATCTTCCAGATGAGCTTGAATTATTATAATGAACATTATATTAACACTGACCAAAGTCTTTCATGAAGAACACAAAATGTGTTAAGATATTATTTTTTATGTCAGTTCTAAACGCAATAGCACTGTGATTTTCTTAAGTAGTTGTACATGGCAGTGCATGCCTGTAATTCCTGTACTCAGAAGACTGAGGCAAGGGATCATGAACTCAAAAGCAGCCTGGGCTACATGAGACCCTGACTCAATCAAAATAAATGCAAAACCAAGTAAAAAGATAGGTAATTTTAAACAATAGTAAATTTCAAATGTACTCATAGCCTTTAGTGTATCAGAATCTTACATACCTTAAAAATTATAGCAAGATACTTTTACTCTCAAGGAAAAAAGTTTGAAAGACTAATATTTACTCTCTATAACTGAATATATACAATAGAAAATTCCATTGCTTAAAAAAATTCAATGAGTATTGGCCTACTAACCTATGAGCTACATATACACATTTAAACAAAAAATTTATGTAAACCTACATAAATGATATGTATATATAGGGGGCTGGAGAGATGGCTCAGTAGTTAAGAACACTGGCTGCTCTTCTAGAGGACCCGGGTTCTATACCCACATGGTGGCTAATGACTGTCAGTAACTCCAGTTCCAGGGGAATCTGACACCCTCTTCCGACCTCTGTGGGCATTGCATGACACGGGTGCACTTACATACATGCAGGCAATACACTCATACACATAAAATGTAAAAAAGATAATTTTTAATGATATGCATATATATACATATCCCATATCACTATTCCTTCATAATATCTATAGTATAATATACCTCTTGATAGCAAGCACAATTCATATAAACATATAAACCAAAAAAGATAAATCTCTTTTTCTCAATGAATATAACTGAAAAAAAAAATAGGGATTTCTTTTTTTTGTTTTGTTTTTTGTTTTTTTGATTTTTGAGACAAAGTCTCAGTCTCACTATGTAAACCAAGCTGACCTTCAACTCAGAGACCTGCCTCTGCCTCCCCAGTGCTGGGATGAAAGGTGTGAGCCACCATGCCAGGCAAAATAGGGTTTTCAAATTAATTGTTGCCTACATAGATCCTAAGAAAAACTATACACACGTTATTTTCTTAATAATGATAATTTTCATTACGCATAATAGTTCTATATCAGGCTTTCATTTTTTTTTTTTTTAACTAAAAAGAAAAACAAGAGCTGGACGTGGTGGCATGCCTTTAATCCCAGTATGCCAGGTGTAGGGCAGGCAGACCTCTGTGAGATTAAGGCCAGCTTGGTCTGCACAGCAAGTTCCAGGCAAGCTGGGGCTATAGGGAGAGCTATCTCAAGCAACACACACACACACACACACACACACCAAAACCAAAACTAAAACCAAAGGCCAGTGAGATGGCTCAACAGGCAAAGGCATTTGCTGCTAAGCCTGTAAACCTGAGTTCAATCCCCAAGACCAACATGGAGGAGAGAACTAACTCCCACAAGTTGTCCTTTGACCTCCACATATGTGCCGTGGCACAAACACACATAAACACACACACACACACACACACACACACACACACAAATCCTCTCCAGGGACAGCATACACACACAGTCACATACACATACATATAATTACATTTTCTTTAATCTGAAAGTCATTTTATCTTAGAAATCCCAATGTTTAAGCATTCAGTTCTTTAGGAATATTCAGCCCTTGAAACTTACATACTGCTTTTGATAAAACCCAGAAATATCATTTGTTACGTAATTTCTGTTAACTGATAAAAGTTATGCTTACTGACAAAAGCAACCTTAAAATGAAAATCTTAAGTTTATACATCAAGCAGCTTTGTTTTAATTTCTTAAATATTTTATTTATTATTCCTATTTTATGTGTATGAGTGTATCACCTGCATGTATGTAAGTACATCCATGTTGTGCAATGCTCTCGGAGGTCAGAAGATAGTGATGGGCTCCCCTGGAACTGGAGTTACAGATGGTTGTTAGCTGCCATGTGAGTGCTGGGAATCAAACCCATGTCCTCTGTAAGACTAGCCAGTATTTTTAATCACTGAGTCAACTTTCCAGTCCTAAGAAGCTTTATTTTTAAAGAATCCAGTTTTTCCTTAAAGATTTGTATTTTTATCTTTTGATTCATTATTATAGAGTCTAAAAGAAGACATTTTATTATTGACCTAGGAAATAGTAATTACCTACGAAGCAATTTAAAAAGTTTTATTGCAAAATCAGGGCACTGAGGAGTGAGTGTCAGATCTGATTGCTTGATTGGACTGGGCATTTATTCCCAAAAAGTTTAAAAAATTTTTTCTTTAAAATAGTTTCATTGTGAAGAGATAATACTATGTATGAAGCAATAAATTATTGTAACTGGGCTTTCACTTAGGAAATTATTCAGAAAAAATAGTAGTCATTCTTATATATCATTATTATGCCAGGTTAGTAATTAACCTAAGTGGCCACTTACATTCACTAACAACAAACCAATTCAGCATCTGGTTGGAGAGAAGCAGTATAGAATAAATTCTGTAACTCTGATCATAGAAAGTTAGTTTCAAGTCCTCAGAGACTTGTAGAACTAAAACCTATCATATATTGGTTACTGCCAATTTCTCCTTCCCTATGAGAGTTTTATGTCATATCCACCCCATTTGTAATATGACTTTACAGTGCTTCCCATCAGAGGCAGGTGAAGAATATTTCTCTACCTCAGTAATGCTGGGCTTGACCTGTTAGAGCAAACAGACTATTAGGAGACATGGTATGAACGGAAACTTTAAATGCATTTATTGTGTGACATAATAAATATCAGCCTTCTTTTGCTGCTACAAGTGTCAAGGTTTTTTTGCAGATCAAGAGATGACTATGACATAGGCAACTCTTCTGAGAATCAGAGACTTGGTTCACAGTCTAAAGCTCAGCATAGTTGATATGCAGTCGTAAATTGTCCTAAAGTACTGAGATTATATTGCTCAATAGCATTATTTCAGCAATAGCTGACCAGTACAAGGTCCTAGACAGGTTGGCTTTCCAAAATCTCTTGCAGAAAATGACCAATGTCCATGTAGTCCAAGAAGATAGCAACCTGTCTTGTTTCCCTCTACCTACCTTTCTGTTCCCCAAGCTCCACTTTCCTAAGAGGAAGCTATTGATTATTTCTTTATTTGCTGGTGTCCTTCAAGGGAATGGTGCTTCTTGACCTGAAAGACTCAGCTTTTTCCAAGAGCATCAAAGACAAATTTCATTTTGATATTTTGCCCAGAATAACAACTTTTCCTTCTCTGTTTCTCCTATAATACAACTAATTTCACTAGGTTTGCCAAGAATTTATTAAAAACAATCTTCAGTTTCCTCTTCAAGTCTCTAAAAAAGTATGCATACAGGGAGAGGGGGGAAAAGAGTGATGTAGGCATAGTGTGTAGGATCTATTCATCACAAATTTGAAGAATGATTTGAAGCAAACAAAATATGTAATGGTTAGACTATCCAAAGATATATTAAGTTCATACCTCATTGAATCTAATAACAGCTAGTTTCATTAAGGCAAATACTCTTCCATCATCACAATTAAAGAGTATCTAAACAGAATATATAAATTAAGAAACAAACTGATGGATGTGAGGGCGGTCTGGCTGGCTGCACAGGTGTTCCGTCCTCCCTCACTGCTCTATGTGCATCCTTCCCAATGCTGGGAGCTCAGTGGAAGATAGAAGAGGATCAGTCTTCTGTTAAGGGTACTCAACTAGCTGTGCTCCCCTGCCAGAACCTCCAAACAACTTCTCAAGGAACAAACTGATATAATTTCACCTCACCTGCTTTAGCAGGGTTCTGTTGGTTCCCAGTTTATGCTGTTCAATACTTCTTCTCACAAAGACCCTTTCCATAGGAGACAGGTTTTCCTTCATTAATGCATGGAGTTCTTTTAAGTGTTCATTTTCATTTTCAGAGCCAGCATGCAAGCTAAAAAAAAGAGTATTCCTTATTAATGTTTCTTATATATCAAGAGTAAAATGGACTAGATTGCCTAAGTTAGAATTTTGAATTAGGTTTCTTAATTTAACAAAAATTAAACTAAGGCTATCTCTTTCTCAAAGGACAAAGGCAAAAACTATTTAAAATTTTTCATATATCTTTGAATATTCTGTGACTTTTAGAATATAGCAGTCTTACCTGTAAGGTAAAATTGGCTTAGCAATCTTTCTAATACTCCCAACTCTGACAAATTTTTCAAATCCAAGACTGAGAAGCCTTTAAAGAAAACAAGACAAAATAGATTCTCCTCATTTAAAAAACAGAGTGTAAGACATAGGTTCATGTAGTATTTATATTAATGTGTATTTTTTTTTGTTTTGTTGAGATGGCGTGCCAGTACCGAGCCCAGGCTATCCTTGAACTCTCAATGCTCATACTTCAGCCTCCCAAGTGCTGGGAATACAGACGTACTCCACCACGTTCAAGTATATTATTAAATGTCATACCTACCCAAGAAGCACTCTGTCAACAGCTACATTAGTAGAAGAAGAAATCAGAAGTTTCCATGGTCTAGCATTTCCAAATGTGAGAACGTCAATCTTTTCAAATAGCTGTACAAAGAATAAAATCACCACAGCCAACAAATAGCTTTTGCCTGCTCCAAAAACACCTAATTATTTCAAAGGGAGGGGAAAAAAATTTAAGACAGTAGCATAAAACCTTTTATAAATGTATAAGAAATATTTTACCCATTTTTTTTCATTGAATTACTATATTAAAAAAATTGAGTGCCTGTCTTAGTTTGTTCTTCATTGCTGTGACAAAACACTCTGACCAGTACCAGCTTGGGGAGGAAAGGGTTTATTTGTCTTACATCTCCCAGGTCGCACGCAGTTCATCAGGGAGCCCAAGGTAGGAACTCAGGGCAGGAACTTGGAGGCAGGAGCTGGAGCACAGCCCATGGAAGAATGCTGCTTACAGGCTTGCTCTCTTGGCCCCTGCTCAGCCTGCTTTCTTATGCAACACAGGCCCACCTGCCCAGGGGTGGCACCACCCACAGTGGGCTGGGCTCCCACATCACTCATCAAGAAGATGCCCTTCAGACATGGCCACAGGCCAGTCCAATAGAGGCAATTTCCCAATTGAGGCTCCCTCAACCCAGGTGTGTCAAGTTGACACTAAAGCTATCCAGCACAGTGCCCATATGCACTATGCATGCAGATAAACAGGCAAATAAAAATATTTCATCTTTAGTAAGACTATATCAATAGGATGAATGGGTAACGAGATAATGATAAAACAAGATGATAACAGTGCTATGGGACCAGAAAAGGAAGAACATTGATTTTTGCTTTGGTAGATATGGAATGTTTCCCAAAAGTAAAAAGTTGCATAACTAAGTCTTCCAGAATGAGCTATCCAGACTGTCAAAGGGAAACAGTCCTCTCCAGGTATATAGCTGTGCAAACAATTTCTTAGAAATTTCCACATAATAGGGCAAATAGGCAAGAAAGGAGGCTAAGGGGAAGGCAAAGGGATTGTGCTGGAGAGCTTTAGTGTCAACTTGACACACCTGGGTTGAGGGAGCCTCAATTGGGGGATTGCCTCTATTGGACTGGCCTGTGGCCATGTCTGAGGGGCATCTTCTTGATTGTTGAGTGGCATCTTCTTGATTGTTGAGTGATGTGGGAGGGCCTAGCCCACTGTGGGTGGTGCCACCCCTGGGCAGGTGGGCCTGTGTAGCATAAGAAAGTAGGCTGAGCAGGGGCCAGGGGAGCAAGCCAGTAAGCAGCGTTCCTCCATGGGCTGTGCTCCAGCTCCTGCCTCCAGGTTCCTGCCCTGAGTTCCTACCCTGGGCTCCTGGATGAACTGTGATCTCGGAGATGTAAGCTAAATAAACCCTTTCCTCCCCAAGTTGGTAGTGTTTTATCACAGCAATGGAGAGACAATTATTAATTTGCTGCAGTTAAAATTCTGAATGTTCTCCTGAAGCCTGGCAAGCAGCCACTGAAGAATTTTAAGCAATAGGACTGACTTGTCAGATTGTGTATCTTGGGGAAAAAAAACACATGGGCCAAAATACTGAGAAAGGTAAAAGTAAAACAGAATAACTGGAACAGTGTGTGAGAGCCAGGATATGAAGGCAACATTCTAACTTCAGCAGCTACATCCCCGCCCACTAGGAAAACCTGCTTCTTACCATGGATGACAGTGATAGGCAGGGAGTGGACGTGATTCTCCGTAGCTTCTTCACCACGTTTACTGTGTGCCATCATCTGAGCTATCTGAATTAGCGCTGCAGATTGATCCTTGTTTAACTTGTGCGTCTCTACCAACTCACTAGCTAACTTCAGTGTTGCTTTTAAGTTGAGGAGTTCAAATTTTGTTTTGATGTTTGCAAAGGCTGGTGTGATAAATTTTTTCTTACTGACATTCTTATTGCTAACTGTAGGTGACAAAGACCTAGAGAAAAGGCAGTAAATCAAAGAAAGATTTTTGAAAGAGGTAATTAGAATTATTCATAACAGCTTTCACTTTATAATCATCAGAAAATATTACTGAAAGTGACAAATTGGAGGAGAATGTATCCTTTGGCATGAGTTTAGGTAGTCTACATATTCACTTATGTACTGTTGACAACAAAAATAAATAATTACATGAAATAGATATAAATATGAAAATGTTCCCACAAAAATAAAATACTAGGGAAAGGCACGGTGGTGCATGCCTTTAATCTCAGTACTCAAGAGGCAGGGTACACAGTAAGGCAACGTCTCAAAGCAAAACAAGTGCACAGGTGCACTTATACACATGTAGGCAAAACACTCAAACACATAAAACAAAAATAAATTAAAAAAAAAACAAAAACCCGAAACATTAAAAAGACATGCATAGTAGCACACAGCTTTCATCCCAGCACTCAGAAAGCCAAAGCAGGCAGATCAAAGTCAGCCTGATCTACATAGGGACTTCCAGGCCAGCTACAGGGAGACCCTGTCTCAAAAAACTAAAACTAAAAAAAAAAAAAAAGCAAGGGGAGTGGCTGGGGAGAGGGCTCACCAGTTAAGAGCACTGGCTGCTCTTGCAGAGGACCCAAGTTCAATTCCCAGCACCCACATGGTGGCTGACAACTGTAATTCCAGTTCCAGAGGATCCAACATCCTCTTCTAACCTCCACATCAATGAACAACATGGGTGCACTTACAGACATGAAAGCAATATACTCATGTACATAAAATGAAAATAAATATTTAAAAAAATTTTTAAAACTCAGCATACTAATAAATGGTAAATGGTTTTAGGTCATTTGAATAGCTTCTATTTTAGGCAAAACTGCAATAAAATAATGGCTTTTATTTCTACTTCATTGTTAATTAGTAAAAATAACAATGAAGTTACTTTATTGTTCTCAACCACTGTGGTAAGAAAAGGATAATGCTAAAAAAATAGATGATAATAACAATTCAAATTGGAAGGTGGGTGCTAGGAACATAGTTTAGTGGTGGAACACTTATCATGTACAAAACCTGGGTTCAGTCCCCAGCACCACAACTGGCAAACAGACTAGACTCACCATTTTAATGTATTTAATATAAATTTACTTCCCGTGTATTTGATTTGGTTCATTGAGACAGAGACTCATGTAACCAAGGCTGACCTGGAACTCTCAATGTAGCCAAAGATGAACCTGAACTCATGATTCCCCTGCCCCCACTTCTGGACTGTTAAGATTACAAGCACACACTACCACGGCTGGTTTATGTGATACCAGGGATGAAACCTAGGGCTTCACGTATGCTATGCAAGAACTCTACCAGTAAACTACAGTCCTAGCCTACGTCTCATTTTTTTTTTTTTCCTGGTCTTTTTGAGACAGGGTCTCTTTGTAGCCCCAGCTAGCCTGGAACTCACTATGTAGACCAGGCTGGCCTTGAACTCACAGAGATCTGCCTGCCTCTGCCTCCCAAGCGCTGGGATTAAAGGTGTGCGCCACCACACCTGGTCCTCCTCATTTTTAAAAAAAGACCTTGGTGTTTGAGAAATTAAAAGACACAGGTAATGCCAAGAATAAACTTAGTATTAATATCTATACTGGAAAATCATTCTTTTAGATGTTAAGTAATAGGTAGCATAACAATACAGATGAATAAAGTAATATAATAATGAAATGATCCTTTAAAAAGTTACTCCATGATTAAGAGAAAAATTTTTCAGGTTTTTCTTTTTTTGTCTTTTTGAGACAGGGTCTCCCTGTAGCCCCAGCCAGCCTGGAACTCACTACTTAGACCAGGTTGGCCTTGAACTCACAGAGATCCGCCTCTCCAGTGCTGGGATTAAAAGTGTGCACCACCACACCTGGCTTTACAACAAAATTTTGTTTTAAAAAAGGAAAGGAACTTATATATATTTCTCTTTCTGTCTCCTTTAAAAAAAAATTTTTTTTTTTTTTGGTGCTGAGGATCAAACATAGGGCCTCACACATCCTAGAACTCACTCTACCACTAAGCCACATCATCAACTCTTTTTATGTTTAACCACTAATACACAATAATATCTTAGTCTAAAAGATAATCAAAATTTTGTTGACAAAATATATTTAATGTTCTTTTATTGTACTTTCATACTCATTTTCGGTAAGCATTATTTAACAGCAGTGACCTAAAGATCAAAAATGACTTACATTGTTAACAGGTATGGCATTAATGGAAGAGTAGCTGGATTAAAGTAGTCCTGAATGTTTTTCAAAGTAGTCAGTTCTGTGCTGGCATTACCAACCAATAATGCATGAACCGTTGCTACAAAGAAGATGCAAAAACTGAGTATCTGATGTAAATAAAGCCAACACTAATAAACTGATTAAATGTCCTTCTAATTCAGAGTTTAGCTAATGAATTAATCACATGACAGAAAAATGAAGTTTAAGAACATGCAGAGGTCTTCAAACTTCTATTATGTTACTATGCTGTATGCTCATTTACTAGTATATGATCATTCCACTCATATATTGCATAACTGAAATCTTACTTGGAACTCCACACAACAGTAAATAAGAACAGGGTTAGGGTCATCTCCCTGCTTGACAACAGCAATTCTCTTGAACCAACATACTACTTTTGATGTACAGTGGAATTTATGTAATTTTTAAACATTTAAACAAGCATTTCTTTCCTAGTCTTTTATTAAAATATATGGAAAACAAGCCAGGCGTGGTGGTGCATGCCTATAGTCCCAGCACTCAGGAAGCAGAGGCAGGTGGGTTTCTGAGTGAGGCCAGCCAGGTCAACAAGTAACACTCTGTCCCAAAAATAAATAAATAGAATTTAAAAATAAATAAAGGCAAAAAAAACAAAAAACAAAAAAAAACAGCATGGGGGCTGGAGAGAAGGCTCAGAAGTTAAGAGCACTAATTGCTCTGCCAGAAGACCTAAGTTCGATTCCCAGCACCCACATGGGCGGCTAACAACTGTCTGTAATTCCAGTTCTAGGGGAATCTGAAACCCTCTTCTGATCTCTGTAGGCAGTGCATGGCACTTACATCCATGCAGGCAATACACTCATACACATAAAATAAACAAAATATTAAAAAAAGAAAAGATCAAGCAGAGCATAGAGGTAGATGCCTATAATCCTAGCACTCCAGATGCTGAGGCAGGAAGATTTCTATGAGTGCAAGGCCAGCCTTGTCCCAACCAAAAAGAAAGAGAACATCAACAGTTAAAAACTTTTGATCGAAATACCTTATATGCATGTATAAAATTCTCAATTTTTTTTTTTTTTTTGGTCTTTTTGATACAGGGTCTCCCTTGTAGCCCCAGCTGGCTTGAAACCCACTATGTAGACCAGGCTGGCCTTAAACTCAGAGAGATCCACCTGACTCTGCCTCCCAAGCACTGGGATCAAAGGTGTGCGCCACCACAGCCTGGCTTCAATTTTTTTTTTAAGAAGAAAAAAAGAATTGGGGAAATAGACATATGTCCACCCTGATCTTTACATAATATATACATATATCAAACATAGCATGTTACCCCATTAATATATAGAATTGTTTCTTGTCAAAAACTAAACTATAAGCTCTCCCCACAAAAAAAAAAAACAAACAAACAAAAAAAAAAAACAGAAAAAAAAAAACATGTAGTACTTGAAATCTAGTTTCATTGTATGCTGTCTTTACTTTGGTATGGACCAAATTCAACCATTAGAAATAATAAAGACTGGAGGCTGGAGAGATGGCTCAGCGGTTAAGAGCATTGACTGCTCTTGCAGAAGACCCGGGTTCAATTCCCAGCACCCACATGGCGGCTATGAACCGTCCTTAGCTCCAGTTCCAGGGGAATCCGAAGCCCTCTTGGACCTCTGCGGCATTGCACAACACGGGTGCACTCACATACAGGCAGGTATTACACTCGTACACATAAAATAAAAATAATAATAAATAAAATATTTTTTTTTTAAAGTGCCGGGCATGGTGAGCACTTGGGAGACAGAGATAGGCAGGTCTCTGTGAGTTCAAGGCCAGCCTGGTCTCCATAGTGAATCCAGGACAGCTGGGGCTACAGGGAGACCCTGTCTCAAAAAGACCAAAAATAAATAAATTAATAATAATAATAAAGATTGAAATGTATAGGGAAGTCTACAGAAGCTTCCACATTCACAGAACTAGATAAGCAGTCAACTAACAGGTCTGCTCTGCTATGAGACTTCTCATGTCCTTTAGATATTAGCAGCAAACGGGATTTTCTTTTCTTTTTTCATTTTTTGGATACAAATGTTATGCAGCCCAGGCTGGCTAGGGTTTCTTCATTAAAAGAAAACTAAGGTGGGCAGTCTGTCAGGATTTCTCAAGGTAGATTAGGTACTCTCAAAGTAAAATCATACTCTCCTCCTCAATTCCAAATCTCTAAGACCTGTCAATGTAAAGATACACTGTTTCAAGGAAACCAAGATAATTAGAACTTCATCTAAAACAATTATCTGAGGGCTAGGTATGGTGGTGCACACCTTTAATTCCAGCACCCAGGAGGCAGAGGGATCTCTGTGAGTCCAAGGCCAGCCTGGTCTATATAGTGAGTTCCAGGCCAGCTGGGGCTACAGGAAGACCCTGTCTCAAAAAGAGAAAAAAAAAAAAAAAAAAAAAACTTAAAACGTTCCCATGTTCAATGTTTACATTTTTAAAAATCAGGTATATATTATATGAAATTCAATTTTTTAAAAAATTGAATGTTATATAGTACATATTTTGTTATGTACATTATATGAACTTCAATTTTGACAAACTATAAGTGCTAGTTCAAGGTTTCATTATTCTGTTTACTCCCACAGGACTTGAACTGTAGAAATCTTAAACTTTTTTGCATATTTTCAGGATCATACTGTGTACAATATTAGAAGCTGGAGGTTGGTGCTTTTTGTTGGCTTTAATTAAACAATCCTACACACAGAATTCTTCCTCTCACTGCCTCCTGTGTCTGTTATTCTTCTTAAACAGAAATTTTGAAGGACATGGTAATACTTACTATTAGTGGGCCAATTAGAAGGAAAATAGCCTTTCAAAGGCAATAGCTCCACTTCATTGATAGATGATGGTCCAAAGAAAGCACTACATGCAATAAAAGTATCTAGTTCAAAGTCTAGTGTTTTTGAAATCACCCAAAGATCACCTAAAGAGATAAAAATTTTCAAATCCCAGATTTATTGAGGTAAGACAAAAAAAAATCATATATAGTTAGGATATTCAACATGGCATTTTAGAGGGTGGTGGTAGGGATTGAACCTTTTAAGCACCTACTCTACCATTACACTACAACTCCTGCCACAACATGGTATTTTGTTGTATCTTATGTGATGATTCCCACAATCAAATTAACATATCCATTATCTGACATAGCTTCTTTTGTATGGTGAGAACCCTTAGATCTACTCCCTTTACATATTTCTAGTACACAATAATGATGAGTAGTTACTATTACCATGCTGTATACCAGACCACTAAAACAGCCAAGAGAAAGTCTGAACTTTCTATTTTCCCCATCTATTTTCCCCATCCCTCAGCCCCTGGCAACCACCATTCTATTCTCATTTCTCTAAAGTTCAACTGTTTCAGAGCCAACAAGATGGCTCAAGCAGGTAAAAGCACTTGACACTGAAGCCTGAATAATGCCACAAGTACAATCCTAGGAACCCACAGTGGAAGGAGGGAACCAATCCCAAACTTTTCCTCTGATCTCCAAACACATGCTGTGGCACACACACACACACATGCATGTCCCTGCACTTACATGTACTCACCATACATACAAACACACAAAAACAAAGTTGTTTTATTATTTTATTTATTTTTATTTTATGTCTATGAGTATTTTCACTGCCTTATGTGTGTGCAATGCCCAGAGGCCAGATGAGATCCCTTGAAGCTGGATTTATACAGCTGTTACCTGCCCTGTGGGTGCTGGGAACCAAACCGGGTCCCCTGCTATAGTAATGATTTTTACAACATGAATATATTCTGGACTAAAGACTTTTACCTAAGCTTGCAACCAAAATGTTACTGGATATAATGTTAACATGCTTACTGAGCCACGTATTCCTCTTGTGATCTGGGCAAATGACCTTAATCCCACAAGACCTCTCCTTGCCCTCCATTCAAGATAGAGTCTGAATGTATATATGCATGCTCTACATATCAAAGAACTGAAAGCAGTGTGCTTTTCTCATTGCAAATAATAAGAGAAATTGATTGTGTGTGATATTGTAGGCCCAGGGATCGAAGGGCAAGGCTCTCTGGATACAGGTGGGTCTTGGAGATCTACTTCCCCCGTTTCATGCTGGAGATACTGTTTCAATAAAGCAATGAGTGAAGCCTAGGTTTGGGAGCACAGTTCCAGGAGACATCTGTAGGAACTGGTACTCAGCAGTTGGGGTCCATTCTTAGCCTTAAAATAAATGCCAAAGTTAGACTGCCTCTTTTTTTTTTTTTAATTTTTTATTATTTTTATGTGTATCATTTATTTTTTGTGTATTTATGATTTTTATGTGTAGTACCTACATGTTGGTAGGTGCACCCTTGTTGTTACTAGTCACAGTGTGCATGCTGGGATTCAAACCCAGGTCCTCTGCAAGAGCAGCCAGTCCTCTTAACCACTGAGTCATCTCTCCAGCCCCAGGCTGTCTCTTTTTTAAGCATCATAGCAATGTGCCTTAGAAATGCTGCACTCTGCAAGATAAGCCAATGCTCTTTACAGCTGAGCCATCTCTCTCTCCAGTCCATGTTAAACTATTTCAGATTTACCTGTATGTACACACTGCAAATTTTGTCTGTATCTGGCTTATTCCACTTGGCATAAAACTGGGCTTTTGTTGTTGAGATAGGGGCTCATATAGCCCCAGCAACCTGCAACCTAACTAGCTGAAGAGGCCCTTGAACCTGATACTCCCACTACCACCTCACAAGTGCTGTGATAATAGTGTTCAACAAACCTAGTTTTGTGTAGTGCTAGAGATTAAACTCAGGATTTTATGAATGCTGGACAAACTGAACTACATCCCCAGTAGGATGAAGTCTTTGATGTCCATACATGTGACAAATGTCAGAACTGACCTTTCTTTTAAAGATGAATAACATTCCATTGTATATATGCATACATATACATATACATCCATATACATGCACAAAAACACAATATGATTTCTTTATTCTTCCACTGAAGGACACTTCAGCTGTCTTCATATCTTTGCAACTGTGAATCTAGCTTCACTCATCAGGGAAGTAAAGACATCTCTTCAAAATACTGATTCCAGAAGTGGAGAGATGGGTCAGTGGTTAAGAGCACTGGCCGCGCACTGGCCGCTCTTACAGAGGACCTGGGTTTGGTTCCTAGCACCCATGTGGTGGCTAACAACCATTCGTAACTCCAGCTCAAGGGGACAACCTCTTCTGACTTTCGAGGGCATTACACAACACAGGTGCACTCACATACATGCATGCAATAGATTCACATACATAAAATAATTTTTTAAGATACTAATTCAATTTCTTCTGGATCTATAGCCTAACAATGAGATCACTGGATCACACAGATTTAATTTTAGTTGTTTTGTTTGTTCTTTGTAGCCCCCTCACTGCTTTCCACCATGGCAAGTATCAATTCACTTCTTGGTATTATCATTATTATTATTATTATTTTGGTTTTTTGAGACAGGGTCTCATTATGTAGCCCTGGCTGTCCTGGAACCGGCTAGGTAGATCAGGTTAGCCTTGAACTCTAACAAGCTCGACCTGCTTCTGCATCCAGGGTGCTAGGAATAAAGGTGTGTGCTACCTTGCTTATCTGTCAGTAAAATTGTACAAAGATTCCCACATCTCCATATTCTTGCCAACATTTACCTTTTGTCTTTTTTATATTACTCTTCTAATAGGTATGAGAGGCTATCTCAATGTAGTTTGCATTTCCTTAGTGAAAATTGAGAAATTTTTCATAAACCTGTTGGATTTTTCAGGAAAATGTTTATTTGGCCCTTTGTCCCTTTTTTTGTTTTTTTTTGGTCTTTTTGGGACAGGGTTTCCCTGTAGCCCCAGCTGGCCTGGAACTCATTATGTAGATCAGGCTACTTTGAACTCACAAAGATCAACCTGCCTCTGCCCCCCGAGTGCTGGGACTAAAGGTGTGCACCACCACGCCAGGCCCTTTATCCATTTAAAAAACCAGGTTATTTGTTTCTTACTGAATTGTCTAGATTATATATTTAAGACATTAACCCTTTATCAAAAACATGGCTTACAAAATTTTCTCCCATTCCATAGATTCTGTTCACTGCTGTTTCCTGTACTGTATAAAAACTTTTAGTTTGATGTAATCCATTTGTCTACTTTAGCTTTTAATGCCCATCCATTTGTGGTCTTAGCCAACAATTCCTTGTCCCTAAGACTACTATTTCACTCGCTTCAGGCTGCCATAACAAAATAGCTTAGACTGGCATATTCTCTGGTGCCTTTTTCTGTACCCTCATATGGCAGAAGAGGCCAAAAGGGTTAGGGTCTTCCCCTCAACTTCTTTTATAAGGCCTTAGATTTCAGTTTTAGCACAGGTTCACAATCCCTTATCCTAAATGCCTGGGACTAAAAACATTTCAGATTTAGACCACTTTTTAGCTTTGTGAATATTTGCATATGCCTAATGAAATAACTTAGAAATGGCTCCTAAGTCTAAGAACAAAATTCACTTATGTATCATATATATCTTATACACATATGTACCCACATTGCACATGTAGAAGTTAAAGAATAATCTTGGGTTTTGATGGTCCTTGCCTTCCACCTTAAGTTTGAGACAGGCTCTCTACTGTTCCATTACATACACCAGGCTATCTGGCCTGAGCTTTTAGGACTCCTCCTGTCTCTGTTCCCATCTCCTTACAGGAACACTGGGATTACAGATACCCATGGTATGTGTCCAGCTTTTATGGGTTCAGGAGCTTCAAACTCAGGTCTATCCAATTGTACAGTAAGTGCTATTATCCACTGACTCATATCCCCAGCCCTTCTACAATATTTTTAATACTTTAAATATATACAAACACAAAGTAACTTTGCTGGTGTGGAACTAACCATTAGTAGTAACATATTAGCACTCAAAAAGCTGTGGCTTTTAAACCATTTTATAATTCAGCTTTTCAGATTAGGGACTCTCAACCTATTCTAACAACATAATGTTCCTTCATTCAGAAAGCCTTGCAACAAACAAAACAAACTATGGATGAAGACTCCAATTAAGTCAGTTTAATGACATCCTGGAGTAGCTCCTCACTTCTCTTTAGGAACTAGCAATTTTGTGGATGAGAACTTGCCTGCACGCCGTATTATAACTAGCATTTGTGTAGATAATGTCAACTAAGGGTAAGGGGAGAGGGGAGACAGTGATCAAAAGAGTCTGAGTAAAGAATAAAGGCATGTGAATGCTTTCTACGTGCTTGTTTTACTAAGAGTAAGATTTAGTTGTCCTTTTTTTTTTTTTAAGGCAGAAAAGAACACTTAAAAAGGGGTAAGGAGATGGCTCAGGAGGTAAAAGTGCTTGCTGTACAAATCTGATAACCTGAGTCTGATCTCTGGAGCCCACGTAAAAAGGAGAGGGTGGACAAATCTGTAATCCCAGCACTCCTATGGGGTAGGATGGCGGCAGAAACTGAAAAATTGGCAAGAAGTTCACATCCATAGCACAGGAGAAGAAACAAAGAGAGGCCCTGGCTCAAAACATAGGAGAGAACTGACTTCTGAAAAGTTATTCTCTGACCTCCACATATGTGCCATGGAATGTGTATACCTTGCCCCCCCCACACACAAATTTTTAAAAATGCACAAAAGTGAAATGAACAAAAATAGTAATATAAGTTTATAGAACCATACTCAAGTCCACAGCCGTACTATCCAGAACACACCAAATCTCATCTGCTCTTGGAAGCTAAGCAGAATTCAGTCTGGACTTCAATGGGAAAAACATAATCATTATATATTATTTTTATCAATCATAGTAAACTACAGAGTTTGTTTACAAATGAATTTTTTTACACTAGAGGTGTATGAATGTTTAGAAGGGACATCATTATAAAAACACAAAAAGGTAGAAATAAAATATTGAAAAAAAGACTCAAGTAAATATTAGTAAAAATAAACCTGATTATCTATACTAATAATACTAACAAAAATAATTCTAAGAAAAGGGTATTATAGTTGGAGAGTCTCTCCATAATGAAAAAGTTTCAATTTACCAAGATGATAACTTAAAACACTGATGTACCTAATGAAATCACTTCACTCTATGAGATGCCCAAAATATCGAGAACAGACACAACCATAAAAGAATTCAATTCATCAGGGTATGGTAGTGCAGGCCTTTAGTCCCAGAACTTAGGAGGCAGAGGCAGACGTATCTCTGTGAGCTCAAGGCCAGCCTGGTCTACATAGTGAGTTCCAGGCCAGCTGGGGCTACAGAGAGACCCTGTCTCAAAAAGACGAAAAAAAAAAAAAAAAAAAAAAAAAAGAGTTCAATTCATCTCCATTTGATTGTTGATAACTAATTAGTAGAAGACTGGTAAGGCTAACAAACATCTAAGCATACAATTACTAGGTCTGATCTGATGGCTAAAGAGCTCTGTGTCATAGAGAAAATATATATTTCTCATGCATTATACAATTAAGAAAACCTTAGCAGTCTGGATGTGTGTTGCATACCTATAATCCTAGCACTCAGGAGGCTGAGAAAGGAGGATTGTGAGCTGGAGGCCAACCTAGACTACACAGCATAGCAAGATCCTATCTCAAAACAGAAACAACAAAAATCTCAGTAAGTTTAAAGAGATGTATTATAAAAGCTATACCCTTTATTCATAACACAATTAATTCAGAAGTTAGTAATAAAAATATAAAACAGAAAGTTCCTAAATGTTTGAATACTAAAATCATATGCTAAATAATCTATAGATTAAAGATGAAATCATAATGTAAAATTTAAAACAATTATAATGAAAAAAGTACTTTAAAAAAGTAGATTGGTACTTGCAGAGATGAATATATTAGAGATAGGGGAAAATCTCAAACTTAATAAGCTAGGTATTTGTGTTAAGATATGTGAACTACATCCTAACAAAATGGAAGAGATTTTAAGAGATGAGTCAGTAACAACAAAAGCAAACAGAAACCAAACCAAACCACCAGGGACACTCAGCTGACCTCTGGAAGAACAAACCCAAAGGTGCTTCTTCTCCAAAACTAACAAACCTCAGGCATAACTGGTCAACAGAACAAAAATGTAAATAACAGTATGAGAGAATGTAAAGTATGAAAACACTAAATAAATGACATTTAAGATCTCTACAGAAAAGTTTGCAAAACTTTATTATAAGATGTTATAAGCTGGGTATAGAGGTGCATGCCTATAATAATCCTGACAGTTTAGAGGAAAAGGTGTCAGGTAGTGAGAGCTTATTTTTTTTAAAAAAAAAAGGCAATGAAAGTTTTAGATAAAGGTTATTTTTCAAGTTCACAGATAATAAAACAATATTTAAAAAGGTGTTATCCTGTAGAGCTGGCAAAGGCCCCTGCCACCAAGCCTAACAACCCAAGTTTGGTGAAGGAGAAACTCCACTCCCACAAGTTGTTCCCTGACCTCCACCTGCATGCCATAGTAAGTATAAGCTACAGATTCAATTCCAATCAAAATTTCAACAGGTGTTTTTTCCCCATAAAATTTAACCACATGAATTTTAAATGCATATGGAATTGTAAAGTGTCAGGAACAACCAAGTCATGCATAAGAACAAGGGAGACTTAGTATTATCTGATTATCAGGATATAGAAAGCTACAGCAGTTAAAAGGGTGGAAGGTGACAAAGATCTACAAATGGACTTACAGAGACCCAGCATGGTAATTCCCACCTGTAATTCCAGCATTCAGCTGAGGCAGGAAGACAGTGAGTTTAAGGCCAGCTTGGTCTCCAGTACTTAAAAAGAAAAATTGTAAAGCCTTTAAGTGGAAAGAATTGATACATGAGCAGATATTGGCAACAAAGGAGTAACATGAAGACCTTCTATAAATAAAAGGACCTGCTAAAACCCAATAGAAAAGTGGATGAGAAATACATACAGTTAATGAACATATGAAGAACATTTGGAAATCATTGGTGAACAGAAAAATACAAACTAAAACTATGAGATCATTTTATACCCACTTGAGTAGGCTGATCTACAGGTTCTCTTATACTTTGACAGTAGTCCTAACACCTGATAAAACTGCTGTGGAAATCAGCTATAATTTCCAGCATATAGTAGCATATAAATGATGTTATAACATTCTCACATAGCAGTCTTATTTCTAGGATTACATCCAACAGAAACTCTTGCACATCTATAAATGAAAGAATCTTTACACACCAAGCTATGTAAGGATTAAGAATAGAGGCTGGAGAGATGGTTCTGCTGTTAAGAACACTGGTTGTTCTTGCAGAAGACCCGGGTTCAAATCCCAGTACCCACATGGCAGCTAAAAATAGTGATTTTTTTTTTTAAAGGAATAAGAATAGGTAGTGAATCCAAAGACAATGATAAACCACTTTAGTATACCTAAAAGCCTCTAAAATATTTTTCTATTTTAAAAGGAATTTATTTCAAAACATAAAAAGTTTAGAATCTGGTGTTGGGCAAAGAGTGAAAGAAGCACTGACAAACTCATTACACTTCTCAATTTATTTTAAGTATCAGGTCAAAGTACAGTTGAATCAATGTTTATTTACATGATACCAAGAACTTAATGTAACTTTTTAGTAAAATGGCATCTGGTATTCTTTTAATAAGAAACTTTAAAACTCTGTTTGCAGACTTATGTGTACACAGAGCCTCAGCAGCATGGACTTGAATCACAAGCACAATCAGATCTACCTACCTTTACTATAAATTGAAGAACTCTCCTTCCGACTCAGTTTAAGATAAATTTTGCTTTTTGCTTCACTGTAAAATTCAGGATTTACAGCTGCAAATTTCTTTAGTTTACTATACTGTTTTCTTTGAAAATCAAACCCTTTCCTGAAAGAAAGTAATAAAATATAAAAGTAAATGAGAAGATGGCTCAGCAGTTAAGAGCAAGTAGTGCTCTTGCAGAGGACCAGAATTTAGTTTCCAGGACCCATGTCAGGTGTCTCACAATCACTTGCAACTCCAGCTCCAGTAGATCCAATGCCCCTTAGGTCTCCATGCAGGTACGTGCATGCACACATGCATATACCACACACATAAAAATAAATCTTTAAAAACATGAATTTGAATATTAAGGTAGAACTTTAAATTTTCTTTAACACAGCATGTAAGGACCAGAACTGTGTACATTTATTTACTTTCATACATGTGTATGAAATATAAACATATTCTATTGAGGAAGAAAACAATTCTCACAGACTTGCCATCTGTTTTTTGTTTGTTTGTTCTGTTTTTGAGATAGGGTCTTACTATGTAGCCTTGGCCCAGAACTCACTATGTAAACTACGGGAATAACTGTTCCAGATAAATAGAAACTTGTAACGAAAGTTAATCTTAAATTTTAAGATCATTTAACACTATCTCAGCTTGTTCATAATGTAAACAAGCTTACTAGGCCTTGGGCTCCTCTTGTAACCTAAACATACAGCTTTAATCCCTTATGATCCTTCCTGGCCCTTAATCCAGAATGAAGTATATATGTGTATGCATGTTATAAAAATATCAAGCACTGCAAGCAGGAGATATTCCTTAAAAGCAAGGAATTATCCAATTTATGTTGGAAACAACAGGTAGAGCAAGATTGATAACAATTATCTGTGGTATGTGTCCTCTTCTGGGAGGGTAAGGCTCAGCAAGGGAAAATTCTTCTCTGCTACAGTTTTTCATTTCTTCCCTAGACCACTCTGGATGTATTGTTTCAATAGAGACAGCAAAGCTTTTGTTCAGGAGCACAGTTCTGAGAGCACAGTTCTCGGAGAAATCTGAAGGAAGATGTTCGCAGAGCATCTAGCATGTACAAGACTCTGGGTTCAATTCCCTAGTAACTATTGATAATTCTGTGAGGGCTGCTGTTCTCTGATATAATTACAGACAATTATGGTACCATAAAACATACCTCACCAAAAGCTGGCATTCCTCATAGACTGGTACCTTTTGATTTCTTAAATATAAGCCAATACTCTTAGTATCACTTAAAACCATGCTGGGCTGAGACTCTCCCTTTGCTAACCATCCTGGAGTCGCTTCCTCAAGCCATTTGAAAAACTTACATTGATCACCTTTGGGCCTATCACATGTATAAAAGAGACGACCCTAAGGCAAGAAAAAAAAATACAGAAATTTAGGGGTATAGCTCAGTGGTAAATTGCTTACCTACCATGCATATTAAAATTTAGTGAGACAAACTGGTTCTATTTTTCTATTGTTTTCTGCATTATAATTGTCAAGCTTTTTGAAAAAAATTAATAATTAGGCTGGACATAGCGGTGCATGCCTATAGTCCCAAGCACTGGAAGGCAGATGCAGGTGGATCTCTGTGAGTTCAAGGCTAGCCTGGTCTACATACTGAGTTCCAGGCCAGCTGGGGCTGCGGGGAGATCCTGCTTCAAAAAGACCAAAAAAAAAATTAACAATTTGTTGTTAATTTGTTTTGAGATAGGGTTTCACCATGTAGCTCTGGCTAACCTGGAACTTATATGAAGATCAGGGTGGCCTCACATACAGGGGTCCATCTCCTGAGCCCTGGGATTAAAGGCATTTGCTACCACACCTGGCTGTCATGCATTTTATAAAGAATGCCTGTGTCCAGGGGTGGTAGTGGTGTACACCTTTAATCTCAGCACTCAGAGGCAGAGGAAGGTGGATCTCTGTGAGATTGACACTGGCCTTTGTCTATAGAGGAAGTTCCAGGCCAGCTAGAGCTACACAGAGACCCTGTCTTAAAAACCAAAAAAAGTAAAATAAATAAATAAATAAATAAATAATAAATAAATAAATAAATACTGTCTGCTATTAATATATTCCAGGAAATTAATCACCTCAATTTTACTATTAATTCTAACAATAAACTAATATTTAAAAGTAGCTACTTTTCCATTTATTTTCTCCATATCAAAAGATTGTATTCTTTTGAAAATGAAACTTTGAGGGGCTGGAGAGAGATGATTCAATGGTTAAGAGCACTTGCTACTCTTGCAGAAGACCTAGGTTCAATTCCCAACACCCACGTGGTGGCTCACAATCACCTGTTACTCCAGTTCCAGGTGATCCAAAGCCCTCTTCTGGCCTCCTCAGGCACCAGGCATGCACACACATCCATACATTCATACATTCACACATACACATAAAATAAAAATAAATTTTTAAAGAAATTATTTGAAAATAAGCACTAAACTGTAATACACTGTTTTCTAATTACTAATTAAGTGTTCACTACAAACAACTTGAAATCTATCCAAAAACAACTATAAGCAACATCTGTACAGTTCTTTCTACACACACAGTTTGTTTTCTTAGAATTCATACAATGATACACTCTCTACTCTTTTTCTTTTCTTTTCTTTCTTTTTTTTTTTTTTTTTTTTTTTTTTGGTCTTTTTTGAGACAGGGTCTTCCAGTAGCCCCAGCTGTCCTGGAACTCACTATGTAGAAGTCACTATGTCGCCCTGAACTCACAGAGATCCACCTGCCTCTGCCTCCCAAGTGCTGGAATTAAAGGCATGTGCTACCACACCCAGCACACTTTCTACTCTTAATCTAATCCTTCTACCAAATAACATAAAATAGGTATGCAACCATGTAGTCAAATAATCTTGAAAAGAACACAAAGATTTTTAGTGGCTATGTATTTCATTCTACAACTATGCTATTATAAATTCTTGTTTTTGACAATTAAATTTAAAGTCAAAAATATATTCAAATAATGATGGGACACGCAAATAGTGAAATTATTGTATCACTATTATAGGGGAATGTCCAGTTTTACAAATCAACATACATGTTACTAACCCTTCTTTGTGATACCAGCAATATAGATTAAGTAAACTGTTTACTCCTTTAGTCTTGCCTGTTACTGGCACAGAGCTTTCCAGCCTTCATTTCTTTCAGGCTCATTTCAGCATCCTCTAAACTCTCAGGTGGAAAAATATCTTTGCCAGTGCTGTCACTGTAGCTTAGGCTCATCCTTATCAGTTATAGTAGGCTATACAGGGGATTTCCCCCCTTATTTCTTTCCATCTGCTACTATGGAGTAAATTCCTAAAAATCTGAAGGTTAATCTTAATTTGTTTTTGTATTCTGGAACACAGATCCTTTATTTCATCGAAAACAAAGGAGAGAGCTTACTATCTATTAGTCATTAATACCCCTCTTCCCCAAGTGTCATCTCCATAGGCATCTAAATCGCATGGAAGGCACACAAGGGGAGGGAGCGGAAACGATACCTTATTTGGACCGTCCTTTTTAACCATGACAAGTTTTGTAGGTTGGTTATGTTGACAGAATGGTGAATTATTTTCTATGTTTTCCAGTGTCTCTCCTTTTGATGATGTATAAAAGGACATGTCAAGTTTTGAAAGAGCTTTGTACAACCTTTGTGCCAATCCAAACAGCAATATATTTAGATGTTCTACAGAAAAAGAAATACAGACCTGAAAGTTAAATATAAAATTAACTTCTATTTGTGTCACGTTTGTATAAAAAAATGAGACATGGTCTCCTTGTAACTCCAACTGGCCTGGAATTCACTATGTAGACCAGGCTGGCCTTGAACTCACAGAGATCAGCCTGCCATTGCCTCCTGAATGCTGGGATTAAAGGTGTGTGCCATCACACCTGGCTTCTTTTTTTAAATCATGTGTCTGCAGATATGTGTACACAAGTGCGGGTGCCCTCAGAAACCAGGGGCATCACATTCCCTGGGTGCTGGAGTTATAGGTAGTTGTGAGCTTCTTAATATGGTTGCTGGGAATCGAACTTGGGTCCTCTGGAATAGGGATAAGTGCTCTTAACCTCTGAACCATCTCTCAGGCTCACACTTGCTGTTATTTTTAAAAGTTTTAGTTTATACATATGGTGAACGTATGTAAGTGCACAACACGTATGCAGTGCCTGCAAAGGCCAAAGGGAGGACTCCATGGGAACAGGAACTACAGACAACTGTGAGTGGTAGGAACCCAGGTCCTCCGCAAGAGCAACAAATACCCTTAAGCATCAACTATCCAGCTCTCCAACCCTTACAAGTGCTATTAATTATTAATAAATACCAACACCCATTTTATATTCTTTATTTCTTTTCTATTGCCTTAACTTTGACAAACTGGAAAATAAAAACACCAAAAAGAATGTTACAGCCAGGCATAGCAACATATAGCAGATGTCTCTGAGTTCCAGGCCACCTTGGCCTACATAGAGAGTTCCAGGCAGTCAGGGCTACACAGTGAGACTCTCTCAAAACAACAACAACAAAAAAAAAACAAAAACAAAGCTTTACAGCCATCAAATAATGCATCCAAGGCAAAACGTTACTGATTGAGCCCTTGTCCGTCACTATACTGTATGCACTTTGTAAGTCATCCAGACTTCTTTTTGTTGTTAATGCATGTTAATTGTACAAAATAATGAGTTTCACTGTAACATTTTTTTTTTTAAGTTTTTTAAATTATGTAGTTTTCGGGTTTGTTTGTTTTTGTCTTCTTTTGAGACAGGGTCTCCCTGTAGCCCCAGCAGTCCTGGAACTATGTAGACCAGGCTGGCCTCAAACTAACAAACCTGCCTCTGCCTCCCAAGTGCTCGGATTAAGGGCATGCGCCACCACGAACCGCTTTAAAATTATGTGTGCATGTGTGTGCCCTTGCCTGGGTTGATGCACGTAAGTGTAATGCCCTCAGAGGCCGAAAGGGGGCATGGATCCCCTTAGAGCTAGAGTAACAAGTACTTGTGAACCACTGATACGGGTGCTGAGAACCAAACTCCTATCTGGAAGAGCAGTATGTGCTGTGAACTGCTGAGTCATCGCTCCATCTCCTCACTGCAACATTTTAATACATGTGTATATTGTGCTTTTTTGGTGGGGGGATCTTTTTGAGACAGGGTCTCCCTGTAGTACCAGCTGGCCTGGAACTCACTATGTAGACCAGCTGGCCTTGAACTCTGAGATCCACCTGCCTCTGCCTCCCAAGTGCTGGGATTAAAGGCGCACACCACCAAACCCAGCTACATATTGTACTTTTAGCCATCAAATTACTTTTATGTTTAATTTTTGAACAGTCTTACTGTGTATCCTAAACTAGACTTAAACTATTTTTTATTATTTTTAATTTTATGTGTATGAATATATTTCTTGCATGTATGTAAGTGCACCCATGTCACATAGTACCTGCAGAGATAAGAAGAGGGTATCTGATTGCCCAGGAAATGGAATTACGGATGGTTGTTAGCCACCATGTGGGTGCTGGGAATTGAACCCAGGTCCTCTGCAAGAGCAGCCAGTGCTCTTAATGGCTGAGCCATCTCTCCAGCCCCTAGACTCAAACTCTTAATCCTCCAGTACTATCCTGAGTGCTGGGATAATAGACATGCACTACCACACCTTACGACAATGAATTTTTCAAAAGGCAAGTTTTGTTCTGACACCCCAAAACATTCAGACCTATCTAATCATGCATCATACTAACTTTCCATTTAAATGTAATAAGGTCAGTGGTTTCTATTTTAAATAAAACCCATAATTTTAAACATTGTCATTTCCCACTTTTAAAGCTCAATTTTGATTTGAAGGTAAATAAAGTTACTGCCAAATATTAAACAGAAGCAAAATTTCTAGAGAATTTACTATGAAAATTCATAATTCTTTTCATATTGATCTAATATTTAACACTATGCAATCATCAGAATAAAAATATAACAGTCATACCTATGATCGAAGATGTAAAGATCTGCTTATAATGAGTGGGAGACTGAAAAACTGCTGGTATATGAATTTGCCTTTGAGGAAGGTAAGCAGATTTTATTTTTTGCCTACTTGGGAAGCATAGCTCAGAGCTGTTTATCTCCTGAAATGGAATGAGTCAAGCTATTACAACCTCAAAACAAATTACTGCTTAACAATTATTTTTCATATATATATTTAAGAAAACATATTAATTGTACTTCTGATTTTTAGAATCCATGAAAACTGCTTTTATAATTTAAAATAAGAAACAAACAAACAACAAAAAAAATCTAAATAAAGCCTGAATAGCACTTTTAAAACAAACATAGCACTTTTAAAACAAAAGAAGACTAACTTTTCTCATCGGTCTCTTTTATTGCTGTTGCTGGTTTTTGTTTTGTTTTGTTTCTTTGAGACAGGTCTCCAATTGCCCCAGGTGACCTGTAACTCACAGTGCAGACCAGGTAGCCTTGATCTCAGAGAGGTCCGCCTCCTGAGTGCTGGGTCAAAGGTGTGCACCACCATGTGCAGTTTTCTCATCAGCCTCTTAATGACAATATAGAGTATGTTTCATTAAGAAAACTTTAACTGCTTTGAATGGACTGTTTTATAGTTCCATATTTCAGATATGATTATAATAAGAATGATTTATAACAAATTTGCAATAGATGTGTCTTGTCCTAAGAATAATTCAATTAACAAGACTAACTTGATAGTCAAAAATAAAAACAACTATAGTAGTATCAGCAGTGGAAATAGCAGCAGAAACAGGAATAAGAGCTAACATTTGTGAAATACCTCTTATGTGCCCAGCAGTGAGTATACCAGAGACTTTCAAATATATAATTTCATTCAGTATTCACAACTACAATAGAAAGGTATAAAGTCAACAGAGATGATGTGACTGTGTCTACAGCTCTAGATCAAAAATAGCTATCTGGCCAGGCATTGTGGCACACACCTTTAATCCCAGCACTTGGGAGGCAGAGGCAGGTGGATCTCTGTTCAAGGCCAGCCTGGTCTACATACTGAGTTCCAAGCCAGCTAGGGCTACAGGGAAACTCTGTCTCAAAAATAATTTAAATAAATAAAAAAGATAGCTATCTGCTCAAAAAATATACTGCTCCCATAGAAGTTTGTTTACTCTTCTTTGGAATTCAGACAATAACTACTGGGGAAAAAAATGTGCCAAAAGGTTGGAGACTTTTCTTACCTGTAAATCCTTTACACTGTATGACTTACAGCTAGCAGACCTTCCTAACACATTTTGAGTTTCTTCAGTCTTAGAAATCTGCTTTAAATTACAAAAAAGTGCTTTCTGTTTGGACACCAAATCTTGACTGCTAAAATTTTGCTTCTGTTGATACAACATGCCTTTTATCATCTCCAAGTACACAGAGTCTAAAGAGTTTTCATTCCTAGCAGCACTCTGCCCCTCACTTGAATGGCTAAAATGCACCTCAGAGACATCCTTGGCAAAGAGGTCATCTGTCACTTTGTCATCAACTCTGTTTAGGGCAGTCAAGTTACACTGGGATATGTTTTGATATTTTATCCACTTGCTTTGAGTAGATTTCTTAAGTAGCAAAGCATCTCCTCCTAGAGTCACTTCTCTAGATTCTTGAAAGGAAGACGTCCCACTCAGATCCTTAGGTCCAAAACCACATGGAAGAACTGATTCTTCACACAAGGTGAACATGGAAGAACCAGAAGACTCTTGTGTGTTATGGTCAATCACAAATGAACTAGAATCTAAGACTGCTGGCCCATCAGCGGGTACCAATGGAGCTGAGGCTCTACTTACAGATGGAAAATTTTCAAGGTTCCTATTCTCTAGGAGACCATTTTTTTTCAATCCTGAAAAAAAAAAAAAAAACATAATGCTGATTAAATAAAAATGTGCTACCAGTCATCAACCAAGGTATAAAAACAATGGGTACAGACAAAAGCAAAAATTAATTAATTTCCCTGGGGCTGGAGAGATGGCTCATCGGTTAAGAACACTGACTTCTTGCAGAAGACGCGGGTTTGAATTCCAGCATCCACATGGCAGCTAACAACTGTCCGTAACTCCAGTTCCAGAGGATCTGATGGCCTCTTCTGTCCTCCACAGGCATTGCATGACATGGGTGTACCTACCTACATGCAGGCAATACATGCATACACATAAAATAAAAATAATAAAATAGCCGGGCGTGGTGCTGCATGCCTTCAATCCCAGCACTTGGGAGGCAGAGGCAGACAGATCTCTGTGAGTTCAAGGC